TCTCAAATCCACATATAAAAAAATTGCACATATACACCTTGTCACACATCTAGCACTAGATCACATACACGCCCCTGCTGACGCATCACACGTCTAGCATCGTGTCACGCACCCGACTATGCTAATACATTCCACTACCAGCACTGATATCACACATACGACTATACTTAATGTATCACACATCTAGTATTGTATCATGCATACAACCATGTCCCCAACAACACATAAATAATATTGTATCACGTGCACGCCCTTACAGCCTGGTGTCATGCATACAGCTGTGCCTAATCATCACATCACATTTCACATTTCAATTCCACATCGCATGCATAATATAGATAATTCCACACAAAACAATGGTTCACATACCCCTCACGCAATTCACCATGAATTCACATCACATCATCATACAGATATGAATTAAATCTACAATATAATATCATACAACTTTAAACCAATTTTCAATCCACATGATAACACCTTAGAACATCAAAATAATATGCATCTTCCTTCGACAACTGTCAAAGAAAACAACACATAGAGAGTTATACTCATCAAAATGATCTCAAACCTGTCTCAAAAGAAATATAAGAGAATAATCTACAACTCTTATGAAGAAATAAAATTCTAAAAAAACCATCTACTTAGCTAAAAATTTCAAAATCTGAAATAGATATAATCCACGCTGATAGCTTGACCCCTATTCACTAAAATAGCCACAACTAGAGTTATAAACATCCTTTTTGAGTGATTTAAAATCCATTAGAAATATAACACCCAAAGATACAACTCTTGTGAATAGCACGAAGTCTAAAAATGTTGTTAAGGTCACCTAGCATGGTTGACAACACAAAACTTAATCTTTCACGCACTAAAATGGAAACTGAACTTATAACTCACATAACTCAATCAATTATTAACATTTTTACATGATTCTAGAGTCTAAATTATAGCTCCAAGTATATACTTTCTAGCCCAACAAACGAAAATTGATTTGGTTAATCACACAGAAAGATATTACAAAAATACTAAGGTACATACATAAGTAAAATCTCCTAATTACTCATTAATTCATATAATTAAGGGTGAGTGCTCATCAATATATAAGAATCCTAACTTACAGAACACATTCCAATAAATTCAATTAGCATGTAGATCATCAATTTTACCAAATAATATAACAACTACATTTATAAATCAATATAAAACTCGATTGAGTCATCGATTTTATAGAATCTTAACTCAAATATTAAAACCCTCAATTTTTCCAAAACCTAACTCATAGACATACAATTTCGTTCTCATCATCACTTTTACAAATTGTTTGGATATTCTTACTCCTCAATACATAGAAAAATTAATGGAATCATCTATTCTTCAAATAGAAATAATTATAAAATTACCCATAATTTTACGGGATTCCTCCTTTACCCATATTTCCTCATGTGACTTTGCATATAAATAATATCTTTTTCCTCGTACCTAGTTGTGTTAAACAGAATAATCCTGAAGCAATTTGAGATTGTTTCCGAGTACCTCCTAAGCACTCTTCCTTAAATCTCTCTGTTTCTCCTATATTTTTTTCCTAATCCTTCATAATGTAAATGAGGTAGATAGGATTAACTCTTCTTGACCTCTTTCTTAAAATAATCCATTGGGTTGGGTCATAATAATAATAATAATAATGTATCTCTGACAAAAAATATAATAATATAATTTCAATATTAAAATATCATATAAAATTAACTTATTATATTTTATAATATAATATATAATTTATCAACTCTCAAATTATTCTTTAAAATATATAAATAATTATTTAAAATACTAATAAAAATACTTATTTAAAATATATAAAATAACATTTCTTTGTATTAATAAAATACTATCGATTAAATACTATAATATAATAATAATATTTTAGAAAATAGGATGTTACAAATTTAATAATAACACTTTCTCGACATGCCGGCTAGTATATAGGCATATATACCATGTTCCCAATTCTTCCCTCTTGGTACTCATCGTGGAAGTCTGGGTGTCTTCGAAGGTGTGGTCCAATACCTATCTAGTGCAATATATATAATACTAATGTTGAAGTCAATTTAACATATAGATATAGATAATATGTTAAATAATAAATTAACATAAAAGGTAATTATTTGTGTATGATATAAACTAAAATATATAATAAAGAATAAATAACAACTATTTATTAAACACTATGATAAACAGCAAAGAATTAATGATACTTAACAAGTTAGTATTTCAAAGTTTCACGTTGAATATATAATAGGTTACCAATACATACAAACATATAAAAAGTTAACAGATCTATATTTTCTAGTCTCATATTCAAATATATAATTCTTGACTTTTCTTTTTTCAAATAGAAAAGCTTCAAATACTTTCAAATATTGCATTTAATTTATAGTTTTATCATCGATAAAAAAAATATATTCTTTTATCAATTAAGAACATAATTATTTAAACACAAAAGATAATTCGTATCACTTCTCCATTTTCCCATCGAATCAACACTACAATAAAATTGATTATTATCGACAATTATTTAGTGACAATAAATTAATTGTCTTTATTTAATAAAATATTAATGTCTAATATATAATGGTTATTAAAAATATATATATTTATATCACACCAAAATTTACTATTAACGAGAATTATTTATTTAGAAAAATTTAAGTCCCACATCGACCAGAAAGATAATTAAAGAGTATATAAATGGAAAATATCTCTCACCTTACAAGTTTGTTTTGTAGGGTTAAGTTAGACCTATAACATACTATTCTAAATTGGTATGAGATTACTCACCATTATCAAACTCAATAGTCCCTAAAATTGAGGAGGTGTATTGGGAAAAATCTAAATCCTACATTAATTATTGATAAAATAATTAATTAGAAGATAAGACAATTAAAAAAATATATAAGTAAAAGACAATCCTCATCTTACAAGTCCCACATCGAGTAGAAAGTAAAAAATGTCACAAAAGTTATACACTTTTTCTGACCATTATGAAGATTTTTACCAGCATTCAGAATAATTGTCGCTAAATGTTTTAGTAACACTGCACACAATGACTATTATGTAAATGCCATTGAAATATTTTGTAACAATTTTTATTACCACTAAAAATCATATTAAATGCCACTAAAAATCTATTTTATTGTACTGCAACATATTTTAGGATTAGAGTCAAACATTTAAGTATTATTCTGTCTAAGATGAGGATCAAAATCTATTCTATATTTAAAGAATCAAGTGTTAAATCAACTGTATTAATAACTTGTTTTAAAGTTATGAATAATGATTATTTTTTTTATAATTGAAACGTTTTATCTGCATGTTGAATGTTGATATATATTTCAAATTATAATATTTTACCTAAAATTAAGTAGATTATATAATAATTAATATTTAATAAATTTAAATTAAATTTTACTTTCAATTCTTATTTTTATCTTATAAAAGTAATAAAATAAGATGAAATTGAAAACTGAAAGTGAAATTTTACATAAATATTATTAAGTATTAATTATTAATATTGTGTCATTTATCTAATATTTGGTTACGACAGACATTACAATTTTAATAATTAATGGATAAACATGTAGTGAAGGGACCAAAATTGTAAATATAATATTATTGGAAGAGTAAAAGTATAATTTAGAAGAAAAAGAAAACAGCCAATATTAAAAAACCTTTCTTTTTTAGTGTACTAAAATGATTTTTAGTCTTTACTTTCTCTCAAAACAATTACACGAATAAAAAATATATTTTTAAATAAGAAATTTAAAAATGCAAATAAAAGAAGTGTAAACTGATTTTCTTTATTTTTATTAGTACTTTTAAAATTTAAATATAATTACAAGTAACCATTTTATCTGTAACTAATAAAATATTGATACTTGAATTACTAAAAATAAAAGTCTAATATCTTTAGAATAAGTCTAAATTAATTTGTAGGTTAAAAGAGAAATCATTTGTTAGAATACTTTATTTTTGTGGAATGAAATCATTTTATACAATAAAATAAATCTTAATTGTCTTCTTTAGACTTTTAGTGTATCACTGTTAATACTTTCTTATTAAGCAATCTTTACTAAAGTTGATAACTATTATTTGACTTGAATTGACAACACATTAGAAAAATCACTATTACCAAAATAGGACTATAATTCCAACTAACTAATATTCCTCTTTGTATCTCACTTCTCACGTAGTGAAAAAGACCCACCCAAAAACAGTTTTTTTTCTTATTATAATTATAATTCAGGAAAATCACTGAAAAAGAAAATTAGGTCCACATGCCCACCGAAATGGACCAATCCCAAAACAATCACAAGAAAAATCACAATACTATTTATCATAATTAGTAAAAAAGAAATACTTTATGTCTTTATTTATTTTATTTAATTGTCGATGAATAATTGTACGAAAAAAATGAGAAAAGGTTCTTAAAAAGCTTTCTTTTTTTAAAATAAAGATATGTAAGAATAAAATTGTGTCACTAAAAAAGAGACCAAAAGTGGTTGTGGGTAAAGAAATTTCTTTTATATATTCACCAACTTATCATCATCTATAACTATTGAGCATTTTTTTTCCTTTTTATATTTTACTTCGGTTTTGATTAAAATGAATTTACTGAAGTAAAGATTAGGCACATACAATGGATGATTATTATTTAACAATTTTATTTACAATATCGAAAATTTGAATTCTAAAATCTTTATTTAGCCGTCATTCTGATTGAGAACTAATCTTACAACTTTGTCAAAAATATTTTATAGTCAAAAGACAAAAAAACATATTTGGTACACACATGCATGTATTAGGAACATTTTTGTCATGTTGCATAGAAGTCATTGATTTAATGTGTGTCCAAAATTCACCATATATAATATTATTATTTCTCACCCCCTCCCTTTGTTTGCATACACATCTTAGCATATCAAATTCAAGTATATCTTCCCTCTTCTCCTTTTTCACCGTACACTTTTTCATTTATTTTTTCCTTTCTTTTCCATAACCACTCATATCCATCTATGGTGTGAGAATTTTGTAAGATTTTGGAACATTGCCCTGTGAAGAGCTTGTGTGGTAGTACTTGAAATTTGAAAACTTGATCTGGGTTTGGTTTGTTTCATTCTCAACATCCCTTTTGGTTCATAATTAAGTGGTCCCCTTTCTGTTTCTTCCATCCTTTTTTCAAGGTGACTTTTTTAGGAGCTTTTGTTTTTTTCCTCCATTTTTCTTTTCCACATTGGTGAATGCAAATCAAGGACTAGTCTGGCTTTATCTTCTTCTATGTTGCAGGTTTCTGCAATTTGATGTTGTGTGGGGAAAGGGGTAGGGTGTTGCCTCTCTCTCTCTTACAATTGCCCTTTTCTGTGATTGTTCTATTGTTGAATAATTTAAGTCTTGCATCAGCTTCAGGTGTTTCTACAATTATTTTGGATTGTCAATTGCTGAAAAATTTATTTGTGGCACTTTTTTTTTTTCTTTGAAGATGGATTCTTTTATCACAAATGTAGTCACCTAAGTTGATATTCGAGCTGAATTCTGGTTATGGAACTAGTTTAATTGTGAAGGTTGTTTGCTGTAAGATCTTTTGGCTTCTTTTAATTTGGAAACACGATTCTCTTTGATCTCTCTCTCTGGTGTGTTGCTGCATTACTTGTTTAAAGTGGGATTTCTGGGGTTTGGTTGTGCACTTGAGCTTGCACCATTAAGGGTTCCTCGTGCAACATTAAGTGGTCCTGTAGTGAAAGATAAAAGTCTTGAGGGTGTGTGGAAAATAAATTGAGGCTTGAATATTAACGTTTTATAAACCATAGGGGCTAATGGCATTTTCTAACCTCTCATCATAGTTAAGAACATGAAATTTTATTTGCCACTCCATAACTTAATCTGTTTATAAAATTTGGTTAGGAACTGATTGTGATGTGCATTTTAGGTGAATACTTCATAACTGAGCAGCAATTGTAATAAAGTTCAACCAGCATTGAGGATGAATGGGCAAAAAATTAAGCGCCGAGTGGGTAAATATGATGTAGGGAGGACAATTGGTGAAGGAACATTTTCAAAGGTGAAGTTTGCACGTAACTCTCAGACCGGGGAGCCTGTGGCTCTTAAGATTCTTGACAAAGAGAAGGTTCTCAAGTATATGATGGCTGAGCAGGTAGTCCATGAATTTTTCTTTGTTGGACAATGGTGTATATCTTTATTTACTCTCTTACTCTGCCCTTCCAAGGCATGGAAATTTATGATGTAATTGATTCCTCATATTTTCCAAAAAGCTTTCAAAATAATGATGAAGTGGGGTTTTTCTTTAACATAGTTTTAGCTAGTAGGTTTCAGACATCAAATGCATCTTGATTTTTAACATAGGAACTTCATTTTAGAATACTTGTTTAGTAATGAAGTTGCTATAGACCTACACATGGTGAAGTCAAGTTTCATAGATGTTTTCTTTATGCATTTTCTTACAGATCCAGCGAGAAATAGCTACGATGAAGTTAATCAAGCATCCAAATGTTGTTCAACTATATGAGGTTCTCTCTCCCTCTCTCTCTTTGACGCTAGACGCACAACCAACATCTTGTCTCTCACTTTTTTGACAAATATATATATATATATATTTTTCCTTTTTATTAAGGAACAGATAAACTTGGACTCAGATGTTGCTGATGACAGGAGTTATCAATTCTTTTATGAACTCAACTTATTGGCCCATGTTTTGAACTCTTTATTATATCACTTGTTGCATGTATTCATCTCTTTTGTCTTCCTTGCCCAAAGTTGTCATTTTTAAAAGCAATAGGTGGCAATGATTGGGCATAGAACTAAAAAACACGACTGTTTAACTAAGAATATTGCTTACCTTTCTAGAAATTTCTCAAATATCATGAAACAATAACTAAAGCCAAAGAAGGATAAAAAAAGTTTTCTATATATTAAAAATAACCTCTTTCACTTGAGATTCTAAATATGTTTAATCACCCCATCTGATAAAAGAAAATCTCATCTAAGTTTTGATTATAAATTGCTTTATACTTTCTATCCCGGGGGTGTACATGATTAGTTTTCTGATTACAGATGAATTTATTAAGAAAAGAATGTAAGTACTTGATTGATGTTATAGGTGAATGTGATAACCAGACAAGACATACCCTGATCATGGCAAATCATTGCCCAATTTAAGGATAATGATTCTAGCTCATTGGAGTTAAGGATTTTGACACATTCATCCAGCTATTTTGTCAAGCATCATTTGCCACGGCTGGCTTTAAGACCACCAAAATGATTTGCGTGTATGACATGGGAGTTAAGAGTTAGAATATTACCTTATTAAACAAATTGATTCCCCCTCTCTCATTATTTGCATTCCAGCTGACAATCATAAAACAAAGATCAGAATCGCTATGTGAAATTTTATCTGCTGAGCCTCTAGCATTTGCATCAGTTCAAAGTGCATACTATCCAACTAAATGGAAATTATTTCATTAGGAAGTAAAACTGTGATTACTGATCAGCAACCAAATTAATTCTTTACAAACAATTTTCTTTGTTGCTTAATTCACTTTCTGAAAGTGCATGATGCAGAATTACATTTATTGTTTGCAGGTCATGGGGAGCAAGACAAAAATATACATTATTTTAGAGTTTGTGACTGGAGGAGAGCTCTTTGACAAAATTGTGAGTAATTGATTTATTTTCTCTCATATTTTTGTTATGACGTCCTTTCATTAGTTGGTTCTAGAACTTGTTCAGGAGAAGAAAAGGCGGAAACATATTAGGTCAAATTTTTGGTTCTCGCACTCTATTAGCTTATAATTCTTTAGTATTGTTCTTGTACCATAACAACGTCCCTGTTCATTCCTTCCATCCCCATTGTTATTACTGTTGAAAGGGCTGTGTTGTGTCTTAGTCCATAAATTGCATTTTTGTTGAAGTGGAAAAGTGTTGAAGTATTTTAATTGTTTTTTTTTTATCTCTTGTGAAGTTAAACAATGGACGTATGAGTGAAAAGGAAGGGCGTAGGTATTTCCAGCAGCTTATAAATGCCGTTGATTATTGCCATAGCAGGGGTGTCTACCACAGAGACCTGAAAGTAAAGCTCTTTCATCCTATTAACAATATGCAAAATGCCCTCAACAATTTATTTGTTCTTGATTAAAGATGAAAGAATACCTTACTTTAGTTTCATCGTTATTCATAAACTTTGTTCTGCAGCTAGAGAACTTGTTATTAGATGATTCTGGAAACCTTAAAATATCTGACTTTGGATTGAGTGCTCTTTCCCAACAAATCAGGGTAAGAACGATTCATTGCCTTAATTTTAATTTGATTAAAACAACAATTTGGAATCTAAAATTGGCACCATTGGTTAACTGAATCCCCAATATTACAAAAAAGCAAATTTAGCCCCTGACTTCGGCTATTGTAAGTTAATTTGAACCCTGATGTTGGTGTGATTAGTAAAGCAAGGACTGAATTTGCTTTTTCAGAATGCTGGGGAACAAACCTAAAATATAATTGACATATAAAACCTAACAAATTTCAAATATATAAGTAGGGAATTTAATCTTGAAAATTTGAATTTCTAAAGACAAGAACATTAGCAAAGCTGTGCCAGATCCTGTCCAAGTGACTGTTCTTTCCTTCCCAGCATTCCCAAATGCTTTGAATTTTAATATGAATGAAAACTGGCTGTTTTGACAGGATGATGGACTGCTCCATACAACATGTGGAACTCCAAATTATGTTGCTCCTGAGGTGAAGACAAATGCCATGTCATGCTCATTTCTTCTGAATTATATGCAAATATAAAATTTCACGCATTTAAAATCAATCCTGTAATCATATGTTCTTGTTATGTAGGTCCTTAATGATGTAGGCTATGATGGGGCAGCTGCAGATTTGTGGTCATGTGGCGTGATCCTTTTTGCGTTGCTTGCAGGTTACTTGCCTTTTGATGACTCTAATGTTTTGAACCTGTATAAAAAAGTGAGCATTTTTGTGTTTTCTGTTGCATAACTTTATTATTGTCCTGTAGTTTCCGTTTTATTACTTCAATTTGTTGGTTTGCAGATTTCAGCTGCTGAATTTACTTGCCCTCCCTGGCTTTCTTTTAGTGCCAGAAAATTGATAACTAAAATCTTGGATCCCAACCCCATGACTGTAAGATACAAATCAACCCCCTTAGTAAAATGACACAGCTCTGGGAAGTTTAAAATTTGTAACACATTACAACTAAAATTGCATGTTTGTTACAAAAGCAAAATAGTCATTTTAGTTGAAACATAACTTTTCAAACTTCCTTTGGTTGAGTCATTTGATCACTATTCACTATGTTTCACTTGTTACAATACCCTTAATATTTTTTTTTTACTTTTTTACTAGTTAGATTTTAGTCTGTATTTCTAATTTTCCATAACCATATGTCAGCGTATCACTGTACCCGAGATTTTGAGAGATGAATGGTTTAAGAAGGACTATAAACCTCCGGTTTTTGAGGAGACAAAGGAGACCAACATTGATGATGTGGAAGCCGTCTTTAAAGATTATGAAGTATGGTTAAGATGGCCAGACAGATATGATTTTGGTATTGGTTTCCTGTAAGCATTGTAATATTTCACAGTAGTTTAGTTTCATAGTAAGGATTTTTCCTGAAAATGCAGGTGCTCAATGTAAGAGAGAAGAAGGAAGAGCAGCCAACACCAATGAATGCATTTGAATTGATATCCTTGTCCAAAGGGCTGAACCTTGAAAACTTGTTTGACATAGACCAGGTTTTTAACTTAATGTGATAGGATTGCCTTTAGTATTATGATGAACATCTAGCATCCATTGTTTTTCTCTCTATTTCTCATCCACCAGGAATCTGGTTGAGATGTGGAAAAGATTTCCAGATATCAAGGAAATGAGTGTAGCCCAACAGGCATGTCTCATTGGATATTCAGGTTTTTATTTATCACAACACTAAATTTTAATATATTCAGAAAATGAGTGTACTACAAAGTTATGTAAATTTCAACATATTTATATAAGAAGATTAAGTTGTTTGCCCCATGTTTATTTATTTATTTATTTTTTTTTGCTTCGTTTTTTTTCCCTTAATGGGAGATGCTGGGCCAAACACATTTGACGAAAATTTCTTAAAATATTAAGGAGCTTAATTTTTGTAAAAGAAAAAATTGGGAAAGTAGCCTCTAAGAAAAAGCTAACTGGAGTAGCTATTAAAAATGTTGGATATCCAAGCCTCTCTCTCTTCCACTCCTTCTCATCCTGAAATAATCAATGTGGACGATGAAACTTAGCTTTTAGTTTAAAAGGAGTGTTTAAGCTAAAATTGTCAAACAGTTATCTTTAAAACTCTTCTTTTGATATTATATGCCAAAAAATAAAGTTGGGCCAAACATTACCTAGTTAAATTTATTGACATGGTTTGGATGAAAATTTTTCGTTTGCGACACCCATTTTATGTAACTTATATGCCAAAAAAAAAGTTGACCAAACATCACCTTGTTAAATTTGTTGACATGGTTTGGATGAGAAATTTTCATTTGCAATGCCCATTTTAGGTTTCTTACTTTAAGATAATGTGTGAATTGTTAATAAAATGTTATTTGTTACAGGGGTTTAAAAGGGAAATAAGATTCACATCAAAATGCCCTGCCAAGGAGATAATCAACAAGATTGAAGAAGCTGCAAAACCTCTTGGTTTTGATGTGCAGAAGAAAAATTTCAAGGTAAGCCAAGCCTGTGCAACTTATTATGTACATGTAGTAAGAGTTGATTCCATAGTTAATGTTAACTTGTTTAATTAACAAATAATCATTCACAGATGAAGCTTGAAAATTTGAAAGCTGGAAGGAAAGGAAACCTCAATGTTGCCACAGAGGTACATAATTGCTGTTGTTTGGTGATATGGAGCCTCATTTCTCATAATATTGTAAATTGATATAATCCTTAACATTTTAAACAGATATTTCAAGTGGCACCTTCTTTTCACATGGTTAAGGTGCATAAAGAAAAAGGTGATACATTGGAGTTCCTTAAGGTATCCTTGTCTCTCACTTCTCATTGAATTGATTTTTGTACTATCTTATTGCCACATTTTATTATGAAGAAATGTACTTAGAACGACATGAAACTAAAATCAATTGTATATTAAAATATTGAAAAAATTGTATTAGTTTTACTTGTTTTTTATTCAAATCTTATGATTTATATTATTTTTTCTTTAATTATATTGTTTTTAAAAATCCATATCATCCTTTAAAATCTCATCAAATCTTATAAATTCTTATGATAAAAATTTATTAAAATTCAAATTACAAAATTTTGATTATAAAAGTCTTTTAAAAAGTCTTAAAAGTTATTATATTCCTACAAATCTTTTAAAATATACAAGACTTTTTCATACTAAAATAGTCCTATGAAATCCTAATCCAATATACTCTCATAAATAGTATTATTAAGTTTTAAATTTTCTAAGTTTCTTATATTTTCTGATGTAGAAGAAAATAGTCTCCATTTTGCATGATCATGCATTGAAATATGTCAGTGCTTGGATGGGAGGAGAGTATCACTCTTTCAGCATTAGACATTTTACAAATAAGAGTTCATTATGCTTTTACTAATTATACCAGAAATAATGCAGGACTGTAGCTCATACTATGATACTACCTATTTGTATGACATGGATTCTAACTAAATCTTACTGTTTCTGTTATGAAAAGTCTTTCAACTTCTTTTGCGTCTTCATTTTTCTTCTTTTCTGTTTCTTTAGAAAGAGATTCTGAAATACGATTTTAGTGGGTGAAATACTATTTACAAGTAATTTTTATAATCGCTACATGATATAACGTGAGTGCTGATCAAACCACAGCAGCAAGCTCTTTGTATAATAACATCAGAATGGTGTGGTTTACACCCTTGTTTTACTTCTAGTTCTAATTGAAACGAATTTGTTTGTTTCACACACTGCAGTTCTACAACAAGCTTTCAACATGCCTGGAGGATGTTGTTTGGAAAACTGAAGATGACGTAGAAGATACAAAGTGAAATTGATGCAACCACCAAATGTTATTTCTTGGTGTATAACAATGTCCTACCATGTTACAATTTCCTCATTGTTTTTGCTCCACATCATCTTTTGTAGGTTTGGCTGGACATATACCAAAGTTTCCCCTGAATTATTGTTGAAAAGCATCCAGTTTACGCTAATGCTCATCAAATTTTGAACTGTGTTCATGATACAAGAAATATGATAAAACTTGGACGATGTATATATACATCTTGTTAATATTGATCTTAAAGGAGAAGACAAAATATGAGGAATTATTTCTCATTGATTTCAATTCTCTGTACATACATTTTATAGCCAAGTATAAAGTACAAAAGGAGAAATAAATCTCCCTAATATAGACATAAATAAAGACTAATTCTTAATTAATCTCATGTTTCACAAATCAGTATCCAAAAATAGTACAACATTAAATAAATAATTACAAGTATATTAGAATATCCTAGAGAATGTGTGATTATCAAATATCTTCCAACACTCCCCTTCAAGCTAGCATGAATATGTCATTCATGGCAAGCTTGTTGGCCAGGTTCCCAAGTTGTCTCATCGGGAAAGCTTTGGTGAGTGACATTTCTCCCACTTCAAGAGCCAGTTGGTCTCTATGCATTTTTGTAAAACCACTTCCAAATTACCGAAACAATTAGAGAATGACGGTCCAAAGTTGAGTGTGTTGCATAACTCAAAGGACATTCTCCTGTAGGCAAAAATATCAAAGGGATAGGTAAAAGTTGCTTTCTCTTGGTCCTTTTGGTTGATTGTAATTTAGTTGCATCTAGAATATCCATTCAAGAAGCACTAGAATTTTTGTTCAGTCAATCTCTCCAACATTTAATCCATGAATGGAAGAGGAAAGTGATCCTTTCTAGTAGGTTGCTTTAACTAGCAGTAGGCAATGCACATCCTCCATTTGTTAACTATCCTTGTAGAGATGAACTCATTTTTATAATTTTTAATCAGTCATCCCTCCCTTTTTAGGCACCTTGGACTTACTAATGCATTATGTAGATCATCTCAGCTTCAAGTAGCTTCAACATTTCTTTTCCCACCTTCTGCTACATGGTGGGATTCAGTCTTCCCTAAGGCTGGGCCACCTGTTTAAAATTTGGTCTCTAGGTTGACGTTGTGCGTTCAATAGGATGGGCTTATTCCCTTTATATCGGAAATAGGCCACCCCAAAGCTTCCTTGTTGTTCTTCAGCATTAGAATTAACTCTTCTCCTTCTTTACTAGACAATGCATTGTTGATCATCATTGGCTTCTCATCTTCCCCTCAAGAAAAACACATTTAAGATGAGAGGGAAGGATCTTTATGTCCATCTTTTTCTTTTCATAAGAGGTATTTGTTTGCAGCTCCTCCATTCTAACTTAGTAGAGTGGCATCTTCTTGAGAGTATCAAGACTCTTGAGGCATTCAACATTCTTCTTTTCTTCCTCCTCAAATGAGGAACCAAAGGTGATGGAAGTACTTGAGGAGGTGATTGATGTTCTTTTTCAAGCTCCACCTTCAAGTCCCAATCTAGCTCTTGAGGTCTTTAATGGTGACTTTGATGAAGCAAACACAAGCTTCAAAGTTTGTAGAAGCAACTTGAGGAGGTTCGGTTTCTTCCTTATTGAAGAGGAAGAAACAAAGAACAAAGGAGGAAATCCTTTTTTGAGAAACTTAGGGGAGAAGCTTCTTCTCCACGAAATTTGTGACTCTTGAATGAGAGAATTTTAGTGAAAAATTTTGATTTCATATACTCAAAAGTGAGGGAAAATGGAAGGTTTACAAATTTATAGAAGTAGGTAACTTATGGAACAAGCTAACCTTAATCATGGTTCAAGAGAACCATGGTTTAGTTGCTTAACCAACCTCCCTAGTTAGGATGACTTGTGGAGCAAGCTTCTACCTTAGCTTGCTTTCTAAGCAAGCTAAGTTAGAAGCTTGTAGCACAAGCTTCCTAAGGCTTCAAGAGAAGAGAAGCAATTCCGACCAACAAGAAGGCTAGGCGACCTTGGCTTGTTTTTGCTCACTTTAATTATTTCAAAATTTGTTGATTTGGTTTAGTTAGGTTCATCCAATGATGGTGAGACCTAGCTAAATCAAATCCTTGAAAAATTATGAGCAAAACAAGTCCAATATGTAAAATTTGGCCTAGGCCTAATTTTGGCCCAATTACTAGTCATACCCTCAAGCATTGCTAATTATCACCCCACTTCTACTACTGAAAAAATAGAAAAAGAGTGACCTTCAATACAAGGTTAAATGGAGTCAAAGTCTCCAAGTAACATATCCTAGAAACAATATACAATGGTCTATAAAATGAAATAAAGTTTTTCACAAATACAAAGACAAAAATAAGCCTATACAAGAAACTATTATATTTACAAACATAGAAAAAGGTCTTCAAAATCATCCCATTCCTCTTGGTTCCTTTAATGTATCACCTCTTGGATTCCTTGGACTTGGCATATTTCCATCAAAAGGCTTGTACTAAAGTACTTTGCAGGGGTGAGTAATTATTAAAATTTTTATGAACAGAATCAAAGGTCACCATCTCACCTTGAACACGCAATTTGAACTTACCATTTGCCACATCAATGAGAGCCCTTGTAGTCATCATAAAAGGTCACCCCAAAATGATGGGTACCTCCGAGTCTTCCTTCATGTCCATGTTGACAAAATCTACAAGAGAAATAAATTTGTCTATCTTCGTAAGCATGTTTTTCATTACCCACTACTAAAAAACTGTTTTATAGTGACACACTATAGTGACATAATATTTGTCATTAAAAATTACTTTTACTTATACTATAAACAATATACATTGGTATGTTGTTAAAAAATGTAAGAATAAACTTTAGTAACATATAATATTAGGGGTGAGCATTAAACCGACACCCGAACCGAACCCAAAAAACCCGAAAAAAAATATTGCTTTTGGGTGGGTTCGGGCGGGTCTTATGGGTAAATCGGGTTAAAATTTTGATTTTATACGGGTTATATTGGGCGGGTTCGGTTTTGAATTTTTAAATCCGCTAAAAACCGAACCCAACCGAAAATGAGATAAGTTTAAATTTTTATTACTTTTGTATAACTAAACAACAATGGTCCAAATTTAAAAGTCTTTATTTCAAGTATAATATAGCCATCAATTTGTAACTTATTTTTTTCCTTTTTCTCATAACTTAGATATTTATTTTGTCTTCTCCTTCCTCATTCAACTTCTCAACACACTAGTCCATTTTTAGAGTTATCTTTTTGCTTCTTTCTTTGTCTTTCTTTTCCATCTTCTTATCTCCATTTTGAGTACATTTTGTGTGACTGTGATTTCTTATGGTTTTGTAATCTAACTTTATATTTCTTTTCCATGTAACAACTATGAATTTTGTTATCTTTTATTTTTGCTTCTTTAGTTTGTAAATGTTTCAACTACGAATCTATTTACACCATCTATTGTCACCTTCATTCTATTTTTATACACTATTTTAAAAATATTTTTTATCGTTTTAAGCTTCATCTTCGTTAAGATAAATTGGTCTACAAAAAAATTCAAACCCGATTATACCCACCCGCTTAAATCCGAATCCGTTTCAACCCGAACCGCCTCAAATCGAAAGCTCAGTCGGTCGGATATGGGTCACATTTTTTCAAAGTCGGTTTACAACGGGTTGGACATTTTTCACCCGAACCCGACCAAACCCACCCGTTGCTCACCCCTATATAATATATGTTAAATTTCATTCAAAATCAACACTAAAATTGTGTGTAGTAATATATAAACAGATTTATACCTACATATATTGTATATATAGCGACATTTTTTATATGTCACTATATGTAATATTTTTTATAGTGACCCCATAGGGGAATTTGATATATTGATCAATAAGTTGGCTTGACTTTCACCTCTCCAACTCTAGATAGCATAGATAAGAACATTAAATTGACACTAGTCCCAAAACCAAGTATGGCTTTCCCAACAAAAAAATTCTCTATGGTGATAAGAATTGTGAAGCTTCCAAAATCTTTCAATTTGGGAGGTAAGGACTTTTGAATAATGGCACTACATCCTGCCTCCTACTCAATGGTATTCTCCTCATTGAACTTCCTCTTCTTTGTCAATAACTTCTTCATGAATTTAGTATATGTGGATGTGGAGAAAATAAAAACACTAAAAGGAAGTTGAATAGTGTTAATTAAAAATTCATTTTTTTGAAATAGTGAAGTAGCAATGTAAGCCTAAGAAAGTGCAAATGAAACAAATCAAATAACACAAGATATTTTTATATTGGTTCATCTCAATCAATAAGACTACATCCATTTCTTGATCAGCATGCTAAAGTTTCACTATCTTTTACATAGATACAAATATTCTTTCATAAGTCACTTATGCTTAACTTAAGTATTCTTTATTGTTCTCTTCAAGCAAACTACCTAAGTATTTTTTTAGTCTCTTCAAACTTCAAGCTAAAACACAATTTTAAGTTAGATAAAGATAACAAAAGTTTCATCATAATTAATCGCAAGACGTAATACAACTTTTAAGCACAAAAGCTTAAAAAAAGAGTTTAAATATAAAAAAATGAGTGCATTGATTTACAAAGTTGTTTTCTTCTTCTCTGTAATCTTTGAAGATGAACATTATCCTTGAGTATCACTTGTCGACTTGCTTCGTCTTGTTTCATCTTCCTTCCTAGTAGAGCTAAGTGTCCATTGCCACTATAATGCATATATTAAATGATTTTCATCAAATAGCCACATCTTATTTGATCAAGGAGAATATTTATTATCTTTATGGTTTAAAAAGGGATGAGTTGTTGCCTGTGTCTGTCAATAATGACTTTTTAGATGACTTTACATCGAGATATTTGTTTGTCCTTTCTTTGACAAAAAGAAAGTCCTCGTTCCTTTATAGATTTCAATACCAAAGAGGTTTTTCTCCCTTTGAAGTGTTAAGGAACAACATGAAAATAGATGATATTAAATGTGATATTTAATATATTCATCTTAGACATACAAAGTGTTATGTATGATAGGTTATCATATATTTCACCATAATAGAAGCGTCTTAAGTTATCATCTTAGACATATGAGCTTATACACATGTCTTTCATAAAAATGTATGATAGGGTTTAAGGTATTTTAAGATGTATTAATTACTACCTTTGTTCTTATATATAAAATTCTTTTCACTTTTTTTGTTTGTTCTTTTACATAAGACCCTCTTCTAATATTTGTCAAATGCATTAATTATATTTTCTCTAAAATATCCTTATTTAATTAACAATTCTT